CCTCTTCCGCGCGCTGTTGCAGAGCGTGCGCCGGCCCCGGTGCTGCTCACGAGCCGGACCCACGGCCGAGTGATCAGCTCCCCTTTTGTACGCCCCGGGTTCCACCCTTCTCAGGCTCCCTTCTTGACCCCAGATCCCTGGAAGGGATCCCTTGGACACGCCACAGGCCTCCAAGGTATGGGCAGCCCCTAGGGCCTTCTCATCCTCTTTTTCCCAGCCCCCTCCCCTCCCACACAAATGAACCCTCTCTTCCCAGCTCCCTCCTGGCCATGAGTCCAGGAGCCCAGCCCTGACTCCCTACTGTCCCCTCACAGCTCTCAGCTCCACTCCCTCCCAGTCACACTGGGTGACCTCAGGGACCTGCTCAGTACCCCAGCCCTGAGCGCGGAGAGCTAGTGGGCTGCCAGTGTCAGCCAGGTCCCCAGAATGAGAGAGACTGTGCATAAGCTCCAAGTGTGTGAGGCCCCGGAGTGTGCAAGGCTCTGAATGTGAGGCCCTGGGCGTGTGTGAAATTGTGTCCTCCCCACGGGCTTTCCCCATGGCCCAGGCATCTCTTGCATGCTGGTAGTCACCCCCAATTCCTGTCTCCCCCTCACCTGGCCCAACTCCCAGCCCTACGTCCACCCTCACAGAACACTCCTTACAATCCCCAGATGGGGGAGGCAGCTGCAGGAGTGCCCTGGCCCTGCAGTTGAAAGGAGAGTGAGTCACAGAAGGGTCAGAGGGTCTCGGACAGGTCTGGGTTACAGGTCTTGGGCCACAGGCAGACTGAGTGGCAGCTGGTCTTGGGTATTGGGGCAGAACGGAGAGCTCATTCTACAACCACAGTTGTCCTTTAAAGGCCTCCCTCTCCAGCCTCTTGTACCCCCTGTGCTGTGAGCCCCACAAGTCTCTGAAGACCACTCAGAACACCTAGTCCCCCCCCCCCCCCCCCCTTGGTTTTTGGCTACAAACTGTCACAGTATACATTGGTAATAAAATGTTCCCCCAACTCTCATCAGTTGTGATTGGCTACAAGCAGAAGGGAGCAGAGCAACACAATACTAGTATATTATTATATGCAGGGACGGTAGGTATAGTTTGGGGGAAACAGAATCTCTTCCGAGGTAGACCAGAGAGGGGGCCCATGCAGGGCTCTGTGGCAGGGCCCCATCACAGGTCGGTGGTATCCAGGCCAGCATTGGTGAAGGACAACGCCTGCTGCTGTCCACCTGTGCCCGCCGTCCTTCCTGACAGCACCACGCTCAGGGGCTCTGCGTCCGGCTCCATCGGACTCTGGGGGGGCTCCTTCTGTAGGGGGAGAGAGGAGAGGTGTGAAGGGCAGGGACAAGATGGGGTGATGTCTCCAGGCCCTGAGGAAGTGGGGAGGCCTTCTAGCCCACACAGACAGATGCCTCCTTGGCCGGAGTCCCACCCTGCTCCTCTCGGGGCCTCAGTTCTCTGGCTGTGTCCCAGAGGTGGCCATGCCACTGGAGGGACAGATGGACCCAAGTGAAGGGCTGGACCTCACCTGATGGGGGAACTACCTGGCCTCTGCCCCATCCACAGACACAGCAGCACTTTGGTGTTCGGCCCAGGCCTGAATAATGCCAGGCCCTGGATCCTGTGCCAAGGAGCCGGTCCAGCAAAGTTCCTGCCACCTGCACCCCACGGCAGGCACCGTGCTGGCAGGCTGCGTCAATGGCGCAGTCTATCCATTACCTGAAGTACCCACAGGAATCCCGTGAGGGAGGAATTGTGTGCCCCATTTTACAGGTGTGGAAACTGAAGCTGAGAGGGTGCTCATGGCCAGGGAGGGGCAGCGCAGGGTTTGGGCCATTGGCCTTGCTGGCTCTAAAGTTTGTCCACAGCACAACACTGCCTCTGGTGCAATCTGACATCTCCTTCTGCAGCCAGGGTCTCACTCTGTTCATTGTGGTGCACACTCACACATCCCCCCCACAAAACATGCTGCACACACACAGCCAAACAGACACACTTCAGAACTGAACTCTTCAGTAGCCCAGGCAGCCCCCGGGCTCCGCTACTGCACAGCAGAGCACCACAGGGCAGAGCTCCAGCACCGTCCCTGGGGGACCACCAGGGCTTTTCCAGGCTGGGCTGTTCCTGGTAAACAGTGGAGCATCTGAGTGACCCCAGGTCAGGCTAAACATTGTCCTTGTGCTCCCTAGAGCCCTCGCCGCTACCCCCCCCCCCCCCCCCCCCCCAGGGGCACGGTGCAGCCCAGGGAAATGCTACTCGCCTTGGAGACGGCCTGGGTTCTAGTCTGTACTTGACTTGCAAGCGTTCTGACCTTGGGCAAGTCAGCACCCCTCCCTGGCCTTGGTTGTTTTAAACGGTAGGATTGGATGATCCCTCGGGTTTCTTATACCTCCCCCACCAACGCAGAGGTCTTGAGTGAGTCAGGGCACCAGGGATCTGAGGAAAAAGGCCCCCCACTCAGCCAAGGGAGAAGAGGGGCAGCCAGTTCCTGAGAAGGCCCCAGGGCCTCCACACCTGCCTCCTGCTCATTAAATATAATGGCCCCCTGCCATCCCAGGACAGTCGCGGCTCTCTCCTGGCTTTGAAGGCTCTCGGTGGCCTGGCCCCCTCCCTCTCCAGACTCTTCAGAGCTCTCTGCCTTTCCCAGCCCACAGGTCCAGCCCCGCTGCTGGGGCCCCTGACTGCATTGCCCTCTGGGGAGCAGCTTTGGCCTCTGCCTGTCTGGCCACCAGCTCTGGCAGGCAAGACTATTTCCTTCTGCCTCAGTTACCCCTAAACATGTCCGTGGGAGTTTTCCAACGCATCTTCAACCAGAGATGAGCTGTTTACCCAGAGACCTCTACCACTGCCTGGCGGCCCGGATTGCCATCTATGACTCCCATCCTGGGATCCTGTTTGGAGACCTCCATGTTACAGCCAGACCTCTGTGCAACAGTCTGGTATTTTAATGCCCATGAGAGGCTTTGGTTGGCCAAGTCCTTCCATGTAAGGCATTCTCAAGGGAAAGTAAGCACTGAAGGAATGGTGGGGGGCCCCAGAGAGCAGGACCTAGCTGAGGGTAGGACCCAGAGGGCCGTGGATACCTAACCACTCCCCCACACACAGAACCTCAGACTATTAACGTTCAGTGGGCCTTAGCGCTTCTTCTCCACTGGTGGTTTTCAAAGTGGGAAGGAGAGATGGTAGTTCCTTCCGTTCTGGCGCCCACCCCTGCAGGGAGAGGACCCATCGTCCACGCCTCTCCTGCTTCTCAATCCTGCCCGCACATGAGGACCCCAGGGCTTTCACAGCACATTCATGCCAGCCCCACCTCAGCCCTCGGATCAGAGTCCCTGGGCTGGGAGCCAGTAGCTCTAAAGAGCTCCCCAGGTGATTCTAAGCAGCAGCCAGGCCGTGCGAACTCTTGAGCCAATAGAACCAGCGGACTTATTGAACAAATGGTGGTACTGTGGTTTATTTGAGCCTACCTTCTCTCCTTTGCTAGGTTATATTCACCTCCACATCTCTTCCCCCCACCCTGCCAGCTCTTCTATACGGGATGTAAAGGCAGGGAAGCAGATATTTTAGCACTTACTTTGTGCCAGGTGGTTTTTATACCCACTCTTATTTCATCCTCACAACAGCCCTACTTGGTTGGTGTTCTGATTCCCATTTGCAGGTGAGAAAACAAACCAGAGGGAGAAGTCACCCACCCCAGGTCACAGTGAATAGTAGAGGAGCAAGGCTTGGACCCCATTCCAAAGCCATAAGGTGTCTCAGGGCCTGGAGCAGAAATTCTAGGTCAGAAGCAGACCCTCTGCTCTGTCCTGACCCCACTTCTTCAAAGAAGGACCCCAGGTCAGAATCCCCAGGCAACAACTAATCCCCCGTCTTGCCTTGATTTCCTGTTTGTTCTTTTCCAGGTCCACAGAGTTGTCATCCAGGGAGTTGATGCTATGGGGGAGATGATGAAATTCAGACAGTTGGCAGGCCCAGTCCTCCCTGTCTGTGGTCAAGAACCACCATTGCCTCTACCTTCTTCTCTACCACACCATCATCATCACCACCACCATTACAGCCACCATCACCATCACACCATCACCACACCATCACCAGCACCATCATCACCACCATCACTCCCACCATCTCCACCACTATCACCACCACCATCATCACCATCACCATCACACCATCACCACACCATCATCACCATCACTACCACCACCACCATCACAGCCATCATCACCATCACACCAGCACCAGCACCATCATCACCACCATCACTCCCACCACCTCTACCACTATCACCACCACCATCATCACCATCACCATCACACCATCACCACACCATCACCAGCACCATCATCACCATCACTACCACCACCACCATCACAGCCATCATCACCATCACACCAGCACCAGCACCATCATCACCACCATCACTCCCACCACCTCTACCACTATCACCACCACTATCATCACTACAGCTACCACTAACACCACCATCACTACCACCATCTATCACCACCACCATATCATCGCTACTATCTCCACCATTATCACCACCAGCTCCATCACCAACTCCACCACCACCCATCATCACCACCATCACCACCATCACCACCACCACCTGCACCATCACTACCACCACCAACCAGCATGGTTATGAGTGACACTGCTCACCTGAGATGGTCCAGGTCGCTGGAGGAGGATTGGGACTCAAAGCCCAGGTCCTTGGTGGGGAGGTTCAGCACGGGATTGGCCCTGGAAAAAAGGCCTAGTCAAGCGGCCGTGTGCCTCAGCCGCCCCATGGGGCCTCTTACTCACCCTTTGAGTCCCACTCACCGCTCAGCAGTGTACATGTTAGTCCCAGGGATGGCAGAGGTTGAGGGCATCACCCCTGCTGCTGTTTTCCGGGCTTCCTTGGCAGCCTTTATAGCCCGAAGCTTCCGGCGGTAGCTGTGGGGAACCAGGAAAGGGATCACTACTTTCCCTGCACACCCACTGTATGTCCAGTGCAGGCCCTGGGAGTGTGACTTCAGAACAACCCTGACAAGTAAGAGTATTCCCTCCATTTTGCAGTGTACAAGTAACTGTCAAAGAAGGAAAAAC